CTTCGCTTTTCCTTTCGACTTTTCCGCCTCTCACCCTAAATCCTCGTTCTCGCCATTTTGCGTGCTGCCATTTTCATTTGGCAAACGTTACAATTTCGCCATTATTGCCGCCGTTGCCGCCGTTGCTATTGTTGTTGTTGGTTTTGTCAACATTACTACAACTCGCCCACGTCATCAACAGCTCGGAAAAACATCTTAGTCACTTTCACTTTTCATTACACTTTTCGCTTTCGTTTTTCTTTTATCGCTGGTGTGCTTTTGTCATGCGGCGTTTTTAACATTTTCCTTTCCTTCCCCCTTAGTTGTTTTCCCTGGCTTGTTGTCAATGCTGGCTGAGGGCTTGCTTTTTGTTTTTTTCTCTCTTCTTAGCCAAAATGGTTTTTAACCCAAATTGCAGAGTTTTCCATGGACTACACTCTACAAATCCGCTTAGCGACACTTTACATTTTAGCCACACGAACGCTAGCCATAATTGAATTAATCCTTGAGCACTGTTCACTTCCAGCTTAATTGCACATTCTCGGCGCAAAATCTACGAAAATCTGCAAAATATTAACTAAACTTTTGCGGGCGCCCCGAGAAGTGTGCTACAAAAAAATACTGCAATGATGGAATGGTTTGGGGGATAACGTGAGCTAAGCTTTCAATCGCTAGACAAAGCAGTACTTATCGCCCCACGGGAGGGGAATGGCAAGTAATTGCATAACGGGGCAAAAACAAAAAAAAAACAGCCAACGATTTGGGTTAAAATAAATTGCATGTTTCATTTACGGGCAGTGCTGTGCGCATGCAATCGCCAGGAAGTCGTCCACAAGAAGTCCTCCAACCCATCCAACCAACCAAACCACCCACCCACCCACACACCACTTAGTCTTGCGTGCCCCGAAGTCACTGCCACCTAGAGCAGGCTACACCCATCCACTGCGCCTCCTGCAGCGTTAGTTGTTTTGCATAATTAATGCCATCATAGGCAGAGGTAATTGCATCTAACCCGTTGCCCACGTCGTTGGCTGGTCGTTGCCTGCCTGGTGTCCTGCCGCAATGTGGCCGTAATGACGGTATCAGCCCCAGGACCGCATTAGAGCGACCAGCCAGCCAGCCAACCAACCGACCGTCCTGCTTCTGTGCGCACCTGCACCCACGCCCCCACACCGTCAACATCAGTGGCAAACTGTGGGCACTGGCAATTGATTTTGATTTTGATTCATTGGGCAACGAGCTGCGGAACGGGCTTGAATTAATTTTAAATATTTAAAGAGCGGCAAGCGACGCATCGTTTAAGCAGACATTAAGTTAATAAAACTCCAAGGACGCGCCCACCAACAGATTCAGAGCGAGAGCCAGAGCCAGGCACCACCACCACCACCACCATCATCATCATCATCCGTCGACGAGTCCTCGCCGTCGCTTGTCCTGGTAACTTAATTATGCAGCTGCCGGGTCTAGGACAAGGATATGGAGTCACGTTGCGATGGTGCGAGGATGTGCATGTGTGCTTCCACCGGCTGAAGAATTTATGAAATTTTTATGGCTCGCACTTAACATCACCTGAAGCCAAAGGGACGACCGAGAACACGTTAACAAAATACCCAGGACTATCGCTTTTCTATTTATAACTTAATCGATGCAATAGCTAAAGGATTTGTTGTATTAATCAAACTCTTGGTTGGCTAACTACTAAGTTTAAAGCTACTAAAGTTTAAAGGTTATTCAGTTGGTTAAAAAAGAAATTAACTTGTAAAAAATTTAAGTAATTGGTAATTGGCTTGCTATTTTGGGAGTTAAAAATAAGAGAGAGGTTCGTAGATTTATCAATTTGAAATTGTTCCCCTATTTGGCATATTTACTTCCTGTGCAGCAGATCCTACAGCGTTAGGTCACACCTTGTGATCCTGCTGACATCCACCTCTGGGCCAAATGGAGAAAAACAGGACCGGAGTAAATCAAAGGAATGCCAATCGCAATCGTTTTACAGCCTGTCGAAGTCTGCTTAGGCACAGCCAAGGCATCAAGTTTCAGGGCTTGGACCCGGAAAAAAAAAATACCAAACATGACATGGACATGGAAAGGTAGTCGGAATGAGGCTAAAGACTAAGGGGCATTCCAGATCGATTGGATGGGAAAACAGGAGGGGGAAACAGCAAACGGATTTTGGACAAAGTGGTCTGTCGTTTGGTTTGTAAAGATGAAAAAGTTTGTTTTTAATTTTGAATATTTATGAATAAGATTAGGTAAAAATACTAAAAAATATTCGATATTATTGGGTAAAGTTCTTAAAATTCCTTAAAAAATATAAGTTAGTTTAAGAAAATAGCCCACTGTGCGATAGATTGATGCTGACACGTAGACAGATGATGTGGCAGATAGATGGATGTTGCCAGCACTTGCCATCGCTTTACATAGAACTCTCGTAAATGCCAGACCAGTCATACCTTGAAGGCAAGAGGCGAAGAAAATCTTTAGTATCTTTGAAGATAATAATAGTCAAATAGTTGATAGATAAAAACTTGTAGTAAAATTACAAATTTTTATAGATCAATTTTAGATACAACTTTAGTTAATAGTCAAGCCAAGATGCCGCTACAAAAATCATTCAAAAACTGAAAACTTTTTCCTAATATCCTAATATCCTGGCCAAAAGCAATCCAAGTCAGTCCCTCGCTTCATTGTCACCAATTCCTCTGACAAGAGACTATCCTGAACCAACATCCCAAGTGGGAGGCAATGAAAATGTTTGCCCATCTAGAGCCGTGTTCGTGTCGTGTGAAGCCTTAAAGAAAATGTTGCTCTATCTGGATTTGCTGGTTATGGTTCTGGTTAAGGTTCTGGTTCTCTACTCATCTCCTCATCCGGATTGGGGACTCTGGCTGTCGTTGCTGCTGTTATACCTTGTTAGCCGTTTGTGTAGATTTCGGTTATGAAAGACCCCCTTCTTCTTGGTGCCATGCAAAGTTACCAGCCTGCCATAGCTCCTTGATCCGAGCTCCTGCCTTCTAGCTCCTTTGCCTCCTTTGCCTCTTTGCCTCCTTTGCCTCCTTTAGCTCCTTTGCCTCCTTTGCCTCCTGGTTGCCCTTTTCCCAGTTCGGCTGTGTGGTATTCCAGAAAACGAAAACATATTTTCCATGCGAGTGCACAAAGCGATGCGAGACGCACGGCAACAAGAGCAACAAACAGCTCCTCCAACAGGATTCGGCTCACATATCTTGCTGCTTGCTTCGGTTATCCCCACTTGTATGTGTGATTGCCACACAGAGAGAAAAAATGTGTGCAAATTACTAGTTTGTGTTTATTATTAACAATGAAAAAGACTTATTGCAATGATAAAATATAAAATTTAAAACATAAAACATAATAATAACAAACTGTAAACCAAAAATATATTCATTTTTCAAGTAACTTTTGAGATAGTTGAGATGAACCTAAACACATTTTCTCTTAGTGTAGTTCTACGCTTTTCTGACTTTTTTTCCGTCTCGCTTCTGGCTTCTGCCGCTGTTGTTGTTAATCCTTTTCGAAATTTTTAGTTTGATTGTTGGGAAAATATTTTAGGCCCCGAGCACAAACACACACCCTGCACACCGCACGCATTAGCATAACTTGTGGGCGGAGTTTCGCCTGGCTTGTGGCATGGAATGCGAGAGGAGGGAGTTGGAGTGGTTGGTGGTCCAAAATGGGATATGGGATGCTGCAGCTTTAAGCGATTTAAGTGCGTCCTTTTCGAGGCAAGCTAGCTAGGTGTTTAGTGGGGCTGTTTGGGGCAAGGCAAGGATATGATTTCAAAGAGAGGGAAATGGAAATTATTATTAAAATATTTTGTATATATTTTTAAAGATACCATCAATTCTTCTAACAAACTTTTTGATTCTGAACTTCAAAACAGCCAATCGAAACCGATTAAAATCCTATCCGATTGATTTTTCGATGACTTTCAGTTATTTGCATATCAACTCGCCTCGAAAAAAAAAATAGTAAAGTTCAACTTATATTTGAATCCGTTTACATATTACCCAAGTTGCACATGCTGCTGCGGCAGGAGTCCACTGTTGGGCGGCTCATTTGCATGCCACATGACAAAAAGCTCGTAGCAAATGCAAATTGAATCCAACTTAAATGCCCCGTCCAGCCCAGGCCTGGGCGGGCATTTTAAATTCAACAAACCGACGGCAATCGCTCAATGACATTGATTGGCTGCTGGACGAGTGTTTCGCATTTTGCATTTCGCTCGGTGGGGGGGGGTCGGAGGTTGGAGGGCGCACAGGGCGGACAATTAAATATTTGCCTGTCTTATGGCAGCCATTTGTTTTGTCCTAGCCATCCATGTTACCCATTCCATACCATTCCATACCATTCCCCAATGATGAAACGTGACCCAGACGGACCGAGGAGCAACTGCGACGGCGACAGAACTCGTTACTGTCACGCCCTGTTGCCGCTGGGACATGACAAAGGTTGACATTGCGCCTGCATTTATTAAAACAACTGCCAGCGGTACGTGAAGCATCATGGGGAAGCAATGTAAACACTGAATGAGAGGGGCAGCTCAAGTGGCTTATTAAACGTTATGCTAAATGTTGAATTCCTCTAATGTTACTAACTAAATCACTAACTAACTTACTTACTAACTAACTAACTTACTTACTTACTAACTGTGGTAGACAAGTTCTATTAAGGCCCACTGTACAACTTTTAGCATAACGTATACGTATAAGACCCACTGTAAAATAAATTAAGAAACAACTTAACTGTAAACACTAAATGTAAATACAGTATATCAGGACTGTTATCTCTTTCTATCATGTAAGTAACTTTCAGAGATCGTTTTGTATGTACATCCGTCTCGCTCACGGACAAGCGAGTAGAGGAATGAACAAGAATTGAAAAGACAATTGGTTTTTGACTTTCAAGAAAAGTGGTTGTTAGAATAAAAGAGATAAAAGCTAAAAGTACATACTTTTACATAACTAATTTACTAAGTAACTTTTTAACTTACTTACTTGCAGTTTATTGGCAACAATAATGGTCAGCACAACATTGACAACACTGGCTGCTGGACAAACAACTAGTAGCAGTAATCACCATCACCACCACCATCATCACCAGACGCAGCAGCAGCAGGATCAGTCGCAGCAGCAGCAGCAATCTCATCAGCAGTTGCCGTACCAGCGACTGCAACCACACGCAGCAGCAGCAGCAGCAGCAGTTGCTGCCAACCAGCAACGCGGCTTCTACGCACTCAACGGCAGCCTTGAGCTCGACTGCGACAGCAGCAACACCAACGGCAACGGCAACAGCAACATTGGCTACCAGCAACAGCAGCAGCAGCAGCAACCGCCGTTGATCCTGTCGCAAGCTTTGCTGTCGCCATCGCCGCCGCTTAACGATCAGATCAGTTTGCTTTTCCCCAAGTGCCGACCCAAGCAGCAGCCGCAGCAGCAACAGCAGCAGCAGTTACAGCAGCAACATCAGCCAGCACAACAGCAACATGCACATCTGGCGGACGTGAACTCCAGCAGCAACAGCACCAGCAACCGGAGCAGCAGTCCCACTTCAGCAGGAACCGTTGTTGGGGAACCGTTGGCCACTGTCAGTGCTAGTCCACCGCCCAAGGCCACGCCCACCAGCACGCCTAGCTATTACAAGAGCGTTAACATTATTACGCAATCGCCGCCGCCGCATTCGGCCTCCTCGCACTCCTCCGAATCTCTGTCCTCGGTGACGCCGCGCATTTCTACAAATCCCTTCCTCTGCGCACCGCTAACGCCACCCACACCGCCGCACCACCACCACCAACAGCAGCAGCAGCAGCAACAGGACGCCACGGGTGAGTCAGCTGTGGAACAAGGCAGGAGCGGAGCGGTCGGCGAGGAGCCCGACTATCCCGCCTCCTTTTACTACCACACGGTGGGCGACAGTAGGCGTGGCCCCGGCGGCTACGCGGAAATGCCGCGCAAACGTAGCGGTGCCTTGCCCGCCAGCAACAGGCAGCAGCAGCAGCAGCAGCAGTTGCACAACGGCAATGGCAGTCAGAATCCCTTCATCAAGGAGAACTACTGGAACACGCCGCCCACAAGAGCCAGTCTGCTGCTCCATTCGCCTACGGAGTACTCTGAGGAGCAGCAGCAGCAGCAACAACAACAACAGCAGCAGCAGCAACAGCATCAGCAGCAGCATCAGCAGCAACATCAGCAACAGCAGCAGCAGCAACAACAGCAGCAGCAGCAGCAACATCATCAGCAACAGCAACATATGCATGCCTCAGCCAGACGAGCTTACCACCAGCAGCGGGAACAGGTGTACGGAATCAGTCAGCGGCCACAGCAACAGCAGCAGCAGCCGCAGCAACAACAGCAACACATTTTGCGGGTGGGACGGAGTCCGGTGAATCGCAGCTTTCCACAGCAGCAACAGCAACAGCAGCAAATTGCAGCTGCCAGGAGCAATCCCTGCGCCGATGGGCTAACTCCGCTGGCCAGTCACTATCTCTATGGCAGCAAGTCATCCCTGGATCAGCATCCAGGTGATTGGGAGCCTCGGGAACAGCGCAAACTGAGGCTTCGCGAGGAGCGTGAAAAAGAACGGGAACGGGAAAGGGAGAGAGAGCACCTGTTGCTGGAGCAACAGCAGCAGTTGCAACTGCAGGATGTGCAGGCAGCCAGGGACAACCATCTCAGCCATTTGGCGGGACAGCAGCAACAGCAGCAGCGCAAGCGACACGTTTACGGCGAGGAAAGGGAAAGGGAACGAGAAAGGGAAAGGGAGCGAGAGCGGGACATGGAACGGGATCATCGCCTGGTCAATGGAAATGCAGATCCCAACGAGAGCTGGCAGCGTAAGTTGAAGTCTTAAAGAAAATCCATAGCAATAGTATTAGTACTAAGTAATCAGATGGCAATTTTCTATTAGTTTTGGTAGAAAATCTCACTTAAAAGATAAAAGCTTTCAACTTTAGTACAAAGTAATCTAAATTTTATAAATATTTTAGAAAAATGCTAAAAGTTTATACTTGCCAAAACACTTTCTAAGAGAGCTTAGCCAACCATTTGGGTTAGAACTGCATTTCGAGATTAGGTACACAAATCCTTTTCCGGTCAGAGTCTAGTTGAAGTGTTGCCCCTGTCCGAGAGCGGCAGCCTCTGTGGTTGCACGTGCCTGCAGCAATTTGTGGCTTGAAGGACTGCTACCCTTCACAGGGTGTATAGAAACAGAAACAGAGAGAGAGAGAAAGGGAGAAAGAGAGCGATTTGGGGGCAGGCTGGGAAACCAATTTCCGACTGGCTGAATGCCGGACTGATAGACATGGGCCCGGGTAATTGAATTGCAAATCATGCGTAATGAAGTGTACTGCAAATATGTATGAATACGGAGCAAAACATCGGAGTCAGGCAGCTATACAGACCAGGGGGGATTGGGCCAGCGAACAAAGCGTAGGAAGCGCGCCAAAGTGGAATTTAATTGATTGCAATTAATTGGCATGCCAAGCAGTCGGACCCATTTAACCCCCTAAAATCCTTGCCTTGCCCTCATCTGAGCTTTGTTTCTCCCACCCCACAATATTCAGATCTGCGCGTAACGACCGAAACTTTGGCGGAGGAGGTCGGCAAGCCTGGCAAGACGGCGGACAAGGCCCAGCACCAGATGCAGACTCTAAACCAAAGCCAAAATCAGGAGGTCAATGTCTACAGGGAGCACAAGCTGGACGCCTGGAAGCTCGAGCGCAACTACACGCTGGCCGTGGAGTCGCGACACGGCATCATTGGTACTTTGCCTTACAATTTTACTACCATTATAAACGTTTCCTTGGCCGTTTTCTTAAAAAAACAATCAAAATATTGACAAGAGTATAGGGATTCCTTGTGATTTTTCACTGATATAAGACTTACTTTTCATCAGTTTGACATTATAAGGCACTTCAATGCCACATTAATAGTAATAAAGGTGAAAACTTCTTGTTTATTTTCCATTCGCAATAAAGTTTTACCAACTTTTTATATCTGAGAATGATAACTTTAACTTTAAATGCTATTTTATTATCCAGAAAATGTCTGTTTTAAAAGCCACACAAACCATTTACATTTTTTCTTTATAAATAAAAAATACAAAACTTCTGTGCAACACACCCATTTTTATATGATTTCACTGAACAAAGTCTATCTAGAGATAAAAAGTTTTGCAAATCAAAACCCTTTTAAAAAAAGTCACTTTATTTTTTTCCCTTATGCCCTCATAGGTAGGCAATACTTTTTTCTAGCCAGGCAGTAAAAACTGAAATTTTATGGTTCTTGCTTTTGTTATTCAGAATAACGGAATCCACTTGAACTCCCGTTTTAATCGCTTTTAATCCTCAGAGTACGAAGGCTCGCCTAGACGCATTGGTGTGACCACCAGCAATTTGGGGGCAGTGACGGCGGCAGCAACAGCGGCGGCAGCAGCGGACGAAAGCGAACCACCAGCAACGGCAGAAGTAGCAACACCAACACAGCAACAGCAACAGCAACAGCAGCAGCAGCAGCAGCAGCAGGTGCCCATGGCCACCGTTCCACCACTGAGCTCCACGGCCACTTCATTGCAAAAGACAGCGGCCCGAGCTGCATTGGCCGCCCTGGCACAGAGCCATCCACATAACTCCCACAACATCCTTAGCACCCTGCTCCCACACTCGCCCAATCCACTGAATCCCAGCCAGATCCACTCGCCGCAGCAACCCATGCAGAACTATCCCGTTCGTCCGGGCTTTCCACAGGTGGGTGTCATCTTAAAAACTAAATTGAATGTTTTTCAAATTTGTTTTTTACTTAATCGCAGCGCATCATCTCGCCGCCCAACCGTGAGCCCCGCAGCAGCTCTCCTCCGCTGCAGCAGCAGCAGCAACAGCAACAACAACACTTTGCCAGTTTGATGAGCAACCACAGTAACAACAACTCAAACACCAACAAACAGCCGCTGAGCAGCGACAACAATGCGGAGGACACCAGCAACGATGTGTCCGAGATTGGCACCATATCTGACCTGACCACTCCGGAGGCAGTGGGTCTGGCAATTGGAGCCGCCGGCGAGATTGCTAGCCGAGCGGCAACACCGCCACAAGGTCCGCTGGCTGCATCCACGACACTAGCACCACCGACAGCAGTGGCGGGCAGCACTGCCAATGGAACCGGAACCGGAAACGGAACCGGAAATGCAACAGCAGCGAGTACCGGACTGGGTCCACTGAGTCTGCACACGAAATCGTCGACCTTCGATTATCTCTACGAGTTCTCAGAGACGCGCAAGGTGCTGGAGGAGTTCTTCAAGTGTCCCTCCACCGACGAGCAGCCCATCATGGAGAATGGCAGCGATGTGGACAGCATTGTGAGTAGACATAGTGATTAACTGAACTGGAAGGATGATTAATTATTTTCCAACTCTTCCTGCAGGATATTCAGTACGAGTTCCACAGTAACTTTGAACGCGACGAGGAGGACTTGGCCGAGGAGGAGGAAGCCGAGGACGACGATGAGGGAGACGAAGATGCTGACGAAGAAAACGATGAGGCCGAGGATGAAGATGATCCGTTGGATCAGGATCGCGATCAGAACTACCGCCAGCAGGCGCCTCCCACCGCTGGCCACGCCTCTGAACGTCTCGTTTATGGCGGCTATGGCCAGCAGTCACAGTCGCAGATTACAACCCAGCCACTGGGCGTGGGCATGGGCGTGGCAAGGCGGCACTACAGCGGCAGTCCATTGATGCGGGAATTTGACTTCCTTTTGGACTCCACCAGCCGGAGCAGCGGTGAGCGAGATGGCGACCAGGATGGGCTCAATCACAACCAGCTGCTGAGCACGGGCAGCGGTCATGGCGGTGGCGTGGGCGTCGGAGTAGGCGTTGGCCCAGGTGGAGGTCACAACTACCGCTACTCACCGGAGACCACCGACTATGATTCCAACTGTGGCGATCTAGACAGTAAGTGGTGGCTTACCCATCGGTTTCCACATCGATTTCCATTACTAATTCCTCCTCTTTTTCGCAGGCCTCTCGGGTGAGATGAACGGCGGAGTTTCGACCTCCTGCTCGAACTACGCCAAATACTATGCCTCGGCTATGCCAGTGCTGGAGGATGGCCTCTCCTCGGGTCACACCAGTGACACCGAGAACAACAACAACAACCAGAAGAACCTGCAGCAGTCGGTCGTTAATCAAGGTCAATGCCCCACCAGCCTGAGTGGCAGCACCAGCATCGGCGGCAGCGGTGGCATCTCCATGCTAATGGACATGAAACGCATCTCGACGAACAACAGCCTGAACAGTATGCACAACCTGACCACCACCGCTTCTACTACGGACAGCAACGGAGGCGTGGCGGGTCATCATCTGGTTGCTACGCCCAGTCCCAGCAATGGCCAATCGAAGCCGCAGCAGGGACAGCAGCAATCGCAGCCGAAGACACTGTCATGGGACCAGAGTCCCAGCAACCACAGCAAAGTGTTCAAGAACATTGATCCGGAGTTGGATTCGCTCTACTCGATTGGTGAGTCTTCGTAGTGATAAAGGTTATCCAAGGCGTCCTTGGTGTCTTCCTCATGCCATATGGTCTCTAATCGTTGGTTTCTTATAGGAGTTTTCCATCGCCCGGACACGGTGCAGATGACGCCACCGCCGCCAGCACCGGCGCCGCATCGCAAGCCCAACAACAACGGCAACGGGAGTGCCATTATTAATAGTAACTGCAACATGGGCGGTGGCAACAACGATGTCGATCTCCTGCAGCCGAGCAGCAAGCACACTCCATTGGCGGCGGCCATTAGTTCCACGCTGCAGCGCAGTTCCCCCACCTCGACGGTCGCCGGAAACGGTAATGGAACCGGAAACGGAAGCGGCAAGCCTAGAAGTGCCGGCAGCAATTGCAGTAGCAGCGGCAATGGAGGCGTACCACCGCCCATCCCGGAGCGAACGAATCTCGTCTCCGCCACACAGAGATCACCATCGCCGGGCCTGAATTCACCCGTTTGGCTATCCCGCCACTTGGATAGTGGCGCCGGAAAGGAATTGCTGGAATCCGGTTCGGATAATCACTCGAAGAATCACAGTGCCGACGAGGAGGACGTGGACACCGATCTGGAGACAGACCGCCTGCTGGGCCATCAGAGGCTTGATGATCAGGGCTACTACGACGAGAACAAGAGCTGGGAGCGCAAGCCGCGATCGCTGCTCTCGAAGATCTCGCCCAAGCAGCAGATACCTAGCACCAAGACGCGCAATGGCTACAATGCGCTGCTTAGCTCTACGCCGGAACTGCCGCCACCGATTCCGCCCAAAGGTCAATCCGGACTGGGCTTGGGTCTTACTCTGGGATCCGGAAATGGTGGCAAGCTATTGGACTTGGTCGGTGGCATGGTGCAGCGCAGTCTATCACGCAGTTCATCGGAGCACAGCGATAAATCGCCCAGTAAAATGCCAATTTCTGGTGGGGATTTGTGTGCCGGAACCGTGGACGTGGTGGCCTCAGCAGTGGCGGCCACTTCGGCAACAGTGGCCACGACACCGGCGCTGGGAAGTCCCGGCAATGGAGGTGGTTCCGAGAGATCATCAGGTGGATTGGCCAATTCCGGTGGAGCTATCAAGATGGGTGAATCGGAGAATGGAGCTCTCAACGGTGGAACAACCATACCAGTGGGTGTTGGATCAGGAGCAGGATCTGGATCTGGGTCGGGAGCCAACGGAGCAGTGGTGGCCAACAGCAGTGCCACCACCACCACCAACAACAACAACAACAACAACGTCGGCAACAGCAACAACAGCAGCGGCAGCGGCGCCGGCAGCAACAGCAACAGCGGCGAGAAAAAAGTGAAAAAGAGTAAGAGCAAAGAAGGTAAATGCGTTGGGTTTATCCTTCGTTTGATTGTTCCTATTTAACCATTTAACTCTATATAACCATATAACCTTATATGCATATATACCTATATATATACTCTATATACATATATATATATATATATATATAAAATTGTATAACCTTGTGGCCTGCCATGTTGTCGGTGTGCATATTGATGTTGTCGTTGTCGTTGTCGTTTCCAAAGTCGCAACAACGAGGCGCTTAAATTTCCCGAGAAAATTCCAAATTCAAAGCTCTGCGTAAATCCGAGAAATGTGTAAAAACAAAAAAAAACTAAAACTAATGTGTAAATTGATTATCCTATTCTATATATGCCATTCTTGATCCAGATAATCCGTATTAATCGTATATATATTTTTACCTATCATTTCTCTGTATTCTTTCGCATATTTATTTGCGTATTTTTTGCATGCGTCGTTCGTTCGTTCAACCAAATCAAAAACCAAACTCTACTCTTCATTTTACTGTGTCTGTGTGTGTGTACAATACTTTGTAAGATAAAATTCCATTATGTATTAGTAACTAAGAGTCCAACACTAACAAAATAACACGAAACAAGGGTTCCCCCTTCTATGGGTTTTTTAATAGTGAAAACTTTATTGTCCTTTAAAACCTTTTAATCTCAAACAGCCAGATATTTTATAGATAAACCTAAAGTTTTTCAATTTTTAACAATGTGAAACCTTAATGTTTAATCCAATTCAGTAACTAACAAGTCTCGAGTACTAACACCTAGTAAAAATCCCAAAAAATCCCAAAAAAAAAGATTCCTAAAAAGTAACTTTCTCTCTAAGATCTTTCTTTTGCTAATCAATCTCAACTTAAAAGATATATAGACATCCTATCAATAGAACCCCAAAACACACCTGCACGTACACTAATCAACTTATACTCCACATGTACTCAATAATCTTTAAAACCATTAACACTGTTGTCCTAACCCGCTTTCCTCATCTTCTCACCAACTGCAGGCGGCGCAGTGCTCATCGAGGGCGTGCTCTTCAGGGCCAAGTACTTGGGCTCCACGCAGCTGGTCTGCGAAGGTCAGCCCACGAAGTCGACGCGTATGATGCAGGCCGAAGAAGCCGTTTCCAGGATTAAGGTAATGGTTTCCCACCCCCCAAAAAAAAAAACATAAAAGATAATGCTCGCCCGACTCGATCGATTGCTTCGATCAGCTTGAGTTTCATTTTATGTGCCATGATATCGGTTCTCTGTGTGTTTGTAGTGGCTAGAAATCCGGAAGTTCTATGTGAAAATCAGATCAGAGGTTGCCACAGTTAAGTTTTTAAAGTTGCAACATCAATTTAAAGCTTTAGAATTATTTGTTTAGTTACAATTTTAAATGTTGTTTATGAGAAAGTTCGCTGGTTTTAAGATTTCAAAAAGTTTTCTTCTTTTTTAATAATATAATAATGCCTTTTATTTTAGTTTAAATATTTTTCCTTATTTTATATACTTAAGTTTAAAGCTAGCACTCTCTTTAAATACAAAATCCAAAGTTTAAAAAAAAAAGATTATTGAACAATTCTTAGATTGTGACAATCCTTTGAGCTGCTTTCCCCGAGTTACCCTTGGCCCTTGCACTAATTAACAAAATTATCAGCTATTTTTGATGCCCTGTGATTTCCGACTTTTGATTTGACACCCTGCTGACCCCCCCTACTACCACCAACGCCACAAAAAAACCTCCGCCACCCACTAGTACCCGAAAACCTTCCCTCAGTAAGCGACCTTGTGCTAAGCTGATTGAAGGACCGACTTCGAGAGCAAAAAAAAAAAAGAAAAAAAAAGAAAAAGAAAAAGAGAAAAACTCATTAACCGTTTACTGTTATATTTTCATGCATCACCTCCTCCACATCAAATGCTCCGCATCCGCGATGACCAACCACGCTAACCAAACCACGTATCGCCATGCAAATAAAAAACCAAAAAAAAAAAAAATATGTTAAAAAATATAAAATAAAAAACAAAAAAAAACACGACCAAATTCGCATAATAGGCGCTGGTAAGTAATGGAAAACACTAGCTAAACCCACTAAGCCCCACCCTGGAACCACCCAACCACCACCCCCACCTCTCTGGTTTGCCTGATTTGCCTTGAATTAAATTGGATCGAAAATATTTGGACCGCTGTAATTCTTGTGTTAACCAAAAAGCGAAGCTTGTCCCCCCTTCAAAGATCCCGCCCAGATCCCAAAACCCTTAACTAATCAATAACTAAACCTTAATCTAATCTAAACCACCTTTTCCAGGCACCCGATGGCGATGTCCAGCCCAGCACCGAGGTGGATCTATTTATCTCGACAGAGAAGATTATGGTCCTGAACACAGACCTCAAGGAGATCATGATGGATCACGCTCTGCGCACCATCTCCTATATAGCGGACATCGGTGATCTTGTGGTTCTAATGGCCCGACGTCGTTTCGTTCCCCAGGACATTGATGATGCCCCCAAGCCGAATCGCACGCCCAAGATGATCTGCCATGTCTTCGAGAGCGACGAGGCCCAGTTTATAGCCCAGTCCATTGGGCAGGCCTTCCAGGTGGCCTACATGGAGTTCCTCAAGGCCAATGGCATAGAGGATCATCGTTTCGTCAAGGAAATGGACTATCAGGAAGTGCTCAACAGCCAGGAGATCTTTGGCGACGAACTCGAGATCTTTGCCAAGAAGGAACTGCAAAAGGAGGTGGTGGTGCCGAAGGCCAAGGGTGAAATCCTTGGCGTGGTGATCGTTGAGAGCGGCTGGGGTTCAATGCTGCCCACGGTGGTGATTGCCAATCTAATGAGTTCAGGAGCAGCTGCCCGGTGTGGGCAGCTCAATATTGGTGACCAGTTGATAGCCATTAATGGGCTGAGCCTGGTGGGTCTGCCGCTCTCCACCTGCCAGACGTACATTAAGAACACCAAAAACCAGACAGTGGTCAAGTTCACGGTGGTGCCCTGTGCACCCGTCGTTGAGGTCAAGATCAAGCGGCCGGAAACGAAATATCAGCTCGGATTCAGCGTTCAGAATGGAGTGGTGAGTTGGTTAACAATTTGTACTAGGAACAGGACAAGTTAGGATATGAATTTTTGTAGTTTCATTAACTAATTACTTACCTTTATCTCTTGCAGATCTGCAGCCTGCTTCGTGGTGGCATTGCGGAACGTGGTGGTGTTCGTGTGGGCCATCGCATTATCGAGATCAATAACCAGAGCGTGGTGGCTGTGCCCCACGAGAAGATCGTTAACTTGCTGGCCACATCCGTGGGAGAGGTATATATAGAAAATGAAGATTAAGAAGTAAAAAACTGAAGTCTAATATCCATTTTAGATACTCATGAAGACGATGCCCACGTCCATGTTCCGGCTGCTCACTGGCCAGGAGAATCCCATATATATTTAAGCCTGCGGGAAATCAATATAAGCGGCGATTATTGTTAACTATAAAAACCTTACAAGGATATTACGATATTTAGTCTATATACCTATGCATATAGAGAGAAGGAAAGGGAAAACAGAAAGAGAGAAAGACACAGAGACACAGAGAGAGAGAGAGAGAGTAAATATATGTATGTATATGCGTGTGTACCTATATATATATATATAACTCTATATATTACACACGAGTGTATTGATTTTTTTTGTGAGTAAACTAGTCAAAGTCAAAGTTCGATCGGAGGCGAGTTAAGAGCAGCTACTACGACAAATAAGAGGAAGCGATAAACTAACACACATGGCACGCCTTTTTGCAAAGCTTAGTAATAATAGTTAATAATATGTGTATGTGTGTGTATGCGTGTGCAAGTGAGATCGGGCCATTGGCCAGGACATACATATATATATATATATACTTAAATACATATATATACATACATATATATATATATATATATGAACACAATGACCTTTTTGCGAAAACGTCCTTAGCTTAGTTGAACGGCGACATTAGTCAGAGATTACAGCAGCTAGTAAACAGATGCCCCCATATATGCTTACCCATATTTAATGTAAAAACCAAAAACAAAAACAAAAACTAAAAGAAAATGAAAGGAAACAAGGCAAGTCCAGACCCAAACGAAATTCGAATCCAGACAGGAGGCAGGCAGCTCTTTTGATATAGTATATATATATATATATATATAATCCACACACTATATAGCACCACCCCCGATATATTTATATAACAAAGAGAATGAAAAGCTTAGGAAATGCATATGGAAAGAGAAAATAGAAATGGTAATAGTAATGAAAATATTGTAACTGCAGCGTTTCGTTTTCTACTCGCACCCATAGCCGAGAATTTTGATAGTTATTTAACGGATATAGCCAGATGATCGTAATGTATGATGCAAAGTGTAAATTGAGGAGCGCTTTACACCCTTGTCCACAAAAAAAAAAAAAAAAACATACAACCCCCCGCCTCCGCCTACCCCGTACATAGAGGATTTAGTTTAGCAGACACATACACTCACACTCACTTAGACGCTTCGATTTCAACCATCTTCGTCCAAAAATTGTGCTACTACTCGTTAAACAAGTTGATAGATATAGAAAGAGAGATTAGAAAAGGATAACAGAAAGAGAGTATGAAAGAGAGATTAAGGGAATTACAGGCGAAGAAGGAGACAGAGTTAAATCCCCGTTATAAGCCATAAGATATATGTAGAAGGAAACGGACTAGAAACAGGCAAGCTTGCATAAGACATCTAGTTCCGCAATTTATAGCAGATTCGAACAGAAAGAGACGGCAACAGACAGACAGAAAGAGAAAAAAAGAGAGAGAGAGAGAGATATATAGAGGGAGAATTGCATTTCTTTGTGTGTATATGTATGTGTAAAATACTCGCTAACCACAGGCAACCGGCATCAGCAGTCACTAAGAGAACTATTATTAAAGGCAATGGGGCGTATGCTTGATGTTTGTGAATTAAAGAACTTTTCGGCCTCATTTCCGCTGCTTGGCAAGGGCCACGCCCACGCCCACCAAAAAAACAAAACTAAAACTAAAATTATTATACAAAAACAAACATTAAACATAAAACATAAAAACATAAACATACAAAACTGCTTCAGCAAAACCAATGAGATGAAAGAGGAAACCGAAACAAAGGCATACAACAACAACAACAACTAATATTTAATGAATTGTTTTTTTTTTTTTTTGGTGTACATTATTTATATGGAATGTGAAATTGCATAACAAACTTAATGAATATATTGAATATTTATTAAAAACGGGCTAATTGCATAGAAATTATATAAGAACCGATCATAACGATGATGATTATTTGTAAAGGCGAACTAAACCCAAAAACAAAAACAAAAACAGAAAACAGAATGAATAAATAAAAGAATATATAATCACATGCGTAACAAAAATATAAAACCAAAAATTGAGCATAATAAACAGAAAATGGAAAAAAGATCTTGCATTTCGTTTTTTATTCGCAAAGGTTAAGAAGCGTTAAAACCTGTTGGGAATTATAGAAGCTTAAGACGAAAAGTATGGTAGAAACTGGATAATTCAACCAAGGAAAAGTTTTTCTGTGTATTTTTTCATCTCCTTAGCTTACTGACTTTATAACCATCATATACTTACCATATCTGTATCAATAGTAAAGTCATTAAAATATTGATAAACCCTCATTTTCCCCATTAATAAGCTCTGCACCTTTCGGTTATTGTGTTTGGAAATAATGTTTATTGACGAATACTTTTACTTGCATTGTTTCATTTGCTTACTTTGTATCATTTTATACATGCAATGGTAAGAAATTGATTCCCAATCTCTGTTTTCAAGTTCATTCTTCCGGTTTTGTTTTGTTTTTTTTTTTTTTTGTTTTGGCTATGGCAAAGTGTGTATATCTATATGTATATGCATCTCTATATATATGTATATATATATTTGTGTATATAAGTAATATGTTCACGGTCATTTAATCAGTACACACACAACAATCAAATTTGGATTTTTTCTGACAAACAAGTTTCCCATTAATTTTGCATCTTATTTCGTACGTTTTGGTTTTTTCTTTTCTTTTTTCTATATGCGTGTGTGTGTTAATGTGCACTTTCCCAAAAAAAAAAAAAGAAAATAGGAAATGGCGATGCCATTTCCGCTTTTCATTTCCTGTCAAAGACAACAACAAAGCCATCGAAATGAGATCGATAGAACTCCATTTGATTTCGAATCTTTGATGTTGATAATTTTTCAGCTCTTGGAACATTCATAGCTGGAGATCGAGACGTGGACTATGCGGTAGTCTGTCTTTCTGAAAGTTCCCAAGAAGCTTGCTTTAAAATTGATCTAAGTCCGTTCGAGGCGAACCCACTTAACAGCTATTTGGTTACCATATAAACTTTTCTCCACATATTCTGGATCTTCTACATCGTTTTTTATACATTTTTCATTTTGTTTTCGTTTTTTGTTTGAGTTTTGAGTTTTTGGGGAACGTGAGTGGGGAAACATTTTCGATATTTCCTGCAGTTGGATGTTCTCAACTGTTATACAGCTCGAGGGCCTGTAATAATTTAGCTAATTAGTATTAATTTTGCTTCGATAATAATCGCTTTTCGAAGAAGATTTCGAAGATGTCAACAAAAAAGACGCAAAATCTCGAATCAAAAATATATGTTTTGTATATATATGTGTCTTTATACGAGTATAATATGGGAATATATATATACGCTTTTGGCTTGGGACTTGATTTTGGATAAAATTTGAACTATTCAAAATAAATGCGACAAAAATTTAATTTAGTTTACAATTCATAAAACTTGTTTTTTTTTTGTTCTTTCACATAGATTTAATAATTGTTAGTGTTTTTTTTTTTTGTTGTTGTCTTCAGCAAATGTTGCGATATATGTATGTTTTGGGTTTAAAGTTCTTATCGAGTGATGGGGTGAGAAGGGAGGGGAAGGGGTGTGTAAATATTTGAACTATGTTATATATATGTAAAAAATCTCATCGTTTGTGTGTTTGTACTTGTTAGAAAATCACGCAGATATGCTGAAATTATCCAACCTAGTCCGAATCAATCAATCAATCAAACCGAAATCCCATCTGAACCAAAGTTAATGCCCATTGCAAAGCCACACCACCCATTACCCATCATCATAGTTCGTTCTCATCGTTCCTCCGTTATCTCATTTCCACATTCCAACTTTCTTCCTTATCCCATATATCGTCTGCTGCCCTTCGTCGTCTCTAAGCCTAAGTCTAGTTCTAGATTTGTCGTTATCGTACATCGAACTTACTGGTCTCCTAATGCTATTATAACTACCGATTTCGTTATGTAGAGTTAGATGGAAAGCTTTATGAATAGATATAGATAAGTTTTTGGGGGGGTGGTATAGAAGTTGGGGGAGGAAACTATAGAAACATAAATAAATGTTTGTATAAATTGCACATAACTGTTACTTAGCACTTAATAACTACTACGACTTACGCACATTCTTAGATGTGGTTTTTCTTCTCTTCTCACTTTCTTCTTTGATAAAAAGTTTCAATTAGTTCGTTTCTCCTGGCTTGTGTCGAGTGTGTGTGTGTATGAGGAGGATACATATATATATCATTTACAATTCTTACTAGATTTCCACATATATATATGTAAAGTGTTTATATATACGCAGATGTATTTGTTTTTGCAATTGGCACATCATTTCTAAAAAGAGTCAATCAAATGAAAATCTCTAAGTGTATTGCACGAGATGCAGCCCGAAAAGAAGCTGAAAATAAAATAGCAAACCAAAAATAGAAATAATAAAAAACAAAATCAAATTAGTTAACTAAACCATTTACTAAACATTTATTGAAATCAAGTAGTAGTAGTTGTTGTTGTTGTTGTTGTTGTGGTGCACACGTGGCAGACAAATAAAACCAACTCAAAAGTTTAACTCGCCTAAAACTAATTGCATTTTCTGAATTGGTTAAATTGGTGGTGTAAATAGTGTAAAGTGTAAGATGTAAAGTGTAAAGTTTAGGACAAAAAAAGGTAATTGCTTGTGTTTAAATTATAATGCTAGGGCTTAACTAAACCAATTGGTAATTATATACGCGTGTTGTAATCATACTTGTAAAATGAATAGAAAACATAGTCTTACTAACTAATTCAATAGTATAGTAGTAGTTTTATAGGTTGTGGCTGAACGAAGCGGAAATTCAAATTCAAATCGCTCGCCTTTCTCCCGCGGCGCGTTTCGAACACACGTTCTTGGTGATAAAGAATACAAATACACAAAAAAAAAATAATAATAATATATATAGTATATAGTAATTGGTTAAAAACGATTTTCTACTAAGGCAAATTAGGTTAAAGCGCCACCTTGCAGTCGCATTTTGCATTTTGCATTTCGCATTTTCATTTCAATTTTCTTTTCTTTCCAGCGATCGGTTGTTAAAGTTTAAACATAACATAAAGCTGCCAAAGCCAGGTGTGTGTGTGTGTTTGCTTTTGTTTTTTAAGATTTGGTGTGTCTAAAATTAAATCTAAATTCCGTTTTAGTTCTACCAAAATTTGCCACCGCTTTGGCTTACAATTCTCATTCAGCATAGTCTGTGTGTGTGTGTGTTTTTATGCGTTTTACATTTTAATTCTACATTTAATTCATTTTCATTATAAGATTTTCTTTCCTCTTCTTTTTCTTCCTCTTCATTTATTTTTCTTTCATTAATTTTGTTTTCTATTTTTGCAATTTTGCCGCTGCTGCTGGCTGGTTGTTAGCCTTTCCAAATTGTTGATGGCTAAACCTTGCGTTTTTGCCTGGGGATGCACACAAAAAATTTCACTAAATTTTAATTTACAAAAAACATTCAAGGATTTTCGCCTCCAGAAGCTGATACATATATATATATATTGGCTTAGACCGAAGTGGGTTTGTGGTGTTTAGGATCTTAAAATTAATTTAACAGCTTATCGACTTTCCGGGTGCTCCTCATTTTCCTTCTAATCCCTCCTCCTCCTCCTCCTCATCGCGGAGGTGGGAAAATCAAACGAGCGGGGGTGTTCGAACATAAGAATTGGTGTTTGTTATGCACTAACTCTAGATTAATATAAGCTTTAGTTGTGGTTCTAGTTTCTTTTGTTTGCCCATCCTCTGCTTCTACTGCTGGTCCTGCATCTTCATCTCTTATCTGTTATCTCTAATCTTCCATCTCTCAACTCCATCTCCATCATCTTCATCTTCATCTTCTTTCTTTGTTGCTGCTGCGTAAACTAGTAAATGCTACAAAATAGGATAATGTCAGCGGGGCTGGTGGTTCCTCTAGCTGATGCTGTTGCTGCTGCCCTTAGGCCGCCGTATCCACCTCCTCCACAATGTGGTTCGGCGAGACTTCGCTAGGTGGTGCTGCAGTTGGTGCTGCTGTGGCTGTCGTTGCTGCTGCTGTTGCGGGTGGTGCCGATGTCGATGTGTTGCTGTTGCTGGCGTTGGTGTTGCTGCTGCTGCTGCTGCTGTTATTATTCGCGGGTGCAGCTTTCGCCTGGGCCTGAGGAGGCACAGCAGTTGGTTGCAGGGGCGTGGCCACCATAGCGCTCACGGCACTGTATTGGGCAGTGGCGCCCAAAGCAACAGCGGCAGCGGCTGCTCCGCCTGCTGCCGTCGAGGAGATGCTATCGGCCGAGGTAGCGGTGACAGGCGTTGCATAGGGACCGCTCTTCAGCTTGCGAGCCTCACGCTTTTGCTTGTGCTGTTGCATCACCAGACGCAGCTGGTCCATCTTCGAGCGGGTCTTCATATTGGCCAGCTCCACGGTGCACTTCTGGCACGTGTGCTCGCGCTCCCGTTCGCCCTGTCCCTCATCCCGGCGATAGCGACAGCTGCAGCCGTTGCTTTGACTAGCCAGGGAACTGGCTGCCTCGGCCTGGCAGCAACTGTGAGACGAAGAAGACTTTGAACTGGCAGACGCCTTAGAGGCGGCGGAAGAAGAGTGATAGCTGGGGCAGTCACGGAAGGAGCAGCTTACACCGCTGCCAGAGGCCAGAGCCGCCGACTGTTGCTGCTGGTGCTGCTGTTGCTGGGCCCGGCTGTTGCACTTGGCGCAGTTATGGTGCTTGGAGGAGTACTGCAAAAAGTAGATTTGGATTAGTAAAATCAAAATTATAGATAATCTTATTAACTCTACTTACCATTTTGGTGCGCGATCCGTGATGCATACCGCTGCTGGAGGACGCCGTTGAGGAAGAACCACTGCTGCCAGATCCCGAACTAGATCCCGAAACCGATCCAGTGGTCGGTGCCTCGAAGCTGATGCGAGCCCCACGGCCGTATTGAGGTGTGGCACTCAGTAGATCGTTGAGAATGTGAATCACCGTTGAGATATCGCGTTTGGGTCGACCATAGCGATCCTGCAGCGCCGGATTCAGTGTGCCCGAAAAGGTGCCCGAAAAGATGCCCTTGCCATGATTCTTCATCGACTCGATCACGGCTCCTGATCCGCCCTTACGCGGTGCCTCCTCACCACTTGCTGTGCCCGTCGAGGTTGTGCCACTGCTTGAGCTGCGGCTGCTGCTTACCACACCGGCGCCGGATAGATCGATCTTGTTGGTGAACACCTCCTTGGAGAGTTTGCGTAATGTCTGGGTCAGATTTCGTGATGCCTCAGCGAGTGTCTTGGTGTCCGACACGCCCAGCAAAGAGTCCTCGGGTTCAGTGGCTGTGGCTGTGGCACTTGCACTGGCTGGCAGTGCCACCGTTGCCGCTGCTGTTGTGGCTGTTGATCCTGGTGCTCCTGCTGCCATTGCCTGCTCTATCTTGCGACGTGACGAGGAGGACGAGGACGAGGAGGTAGAGGACGAGGAAGACGAAGAGGACGAGGACGAGGCTGCGGCAAAGGCGGCTGCATTGATCGATGACTGATTGCCGGCGCAGGCGTGATGGTAAATGTGACTGCTGCTGCTGCTGCTGCTATGACCATGTCCATGCCCATGCCCATGTCCATGACCATGGTAGTGACGATGCTTGGTCCTGGTGATGCGGTTATTGCCCGTCTTGTGCAACATCGAATTGCCCGAGAAGGTGACTCCTGCCCCCGAAGCTGTCGAACGTGCCGCAAAACCGGCATTTGCCCCGCCGCCGCAACTTGAATCCTGGCACTTGCCGGGTGAGCTGCTGGATCCGGATCGTGTCAGGGGAGCATGGGCCACTACAGAGGCCACTGGCTGCGCCACGGGCGGCGTAGGTAGGCGCGTGCACAAGCACGAGGTCAACTTGGCGGCTATGGGATCCTGCTGACAGCCGCCGGTGGTGCAGGCTCCACTGGAAGAGGACGAAGAAGATGAGCTGGAGGCGGCGGCGGAGGAGCTGCAGCTGCAGCTAGAACTAGAACTGGAACTGGAAGCAGCCGTTGTGGGCAGGGGAATGTTTTTGATGGCCGTCATATTGATGGGACTGGACACGAGATTCGACAGCGATTTGATGGGCGACTGCTCCAGCACAGGTTTTCCCGGGCTCGAGCCAGATCCACCATTTGCCACCGGACGAGCTGTGGCGCCGGCATCCTTCAGAGCGAAGCTCTTAACGATGTTATGGATGCCACCCTTAATCAGCACCTTGGTGAAATCAGATCCGTTCAGCGTTGACGAACTCTGGGCCTGACCAGTGCCAGATGCTCCCACTCCCGAACCCGATGCTCCCGAGGAACTAGGCAAATCGCCGTACATCTTGCGCAGCGAGGACATCCCACCACCACTGCCAGCAGCCACTGCCGAGGCATTGTGATGATGATGGTGATGATGGTGATGATGATGGTGATGATGGGCATGTCCATGTCCATGACTATGCCCATGACCATGTCCATGGCCAATACCATGCCAGTTTGCGGCATGCAGACTCGGGTGCTGGTGGCTGTGCACATGACCATGTCCGATTCTTCCACTTGAACGCTGGCCAGAAGAGCGGGTTCTCGACGAAGATGAAGATGATGACGAAGAGGACGTCGACGACGATGATGATGATGATGATGATGAGGAGGAGGAGGTGTTGGCGCCGCCACCTACTCCAGTACTTCCGCTTCCACCTGCCACCGCCAGCACTGCCGACGAGGAGGAGGATGTGTTGCAGCTGCCAGTTCCAGCTGGCATTACAGGCGCCGCTGACGTTGTGGTGGCGGCGGCCGTTGTGGTGGCACCACTAGCATTTGCTGGGGCAACTGTGGCACTACCGCCTGCCGGATTAACCGTGCTCAACTGAAGTTGGATAAGCATCATGTGGTCACCGAGACGCATGCTCAGATTTAGCGGTGTCTTGCCGCTGAGGAAGTCATTAACCTGCGAGTCGTTAAGCGATTCCAGCGCTTGCATAACCGTGTTCTCAGGACGCTGGGCCTGTGGGAAGATGAGAAAGAAAAGTTGATAAGAAAGGGAATTACTTTTACTATCAAAGGATTAGTTAGTTATAGGCTAGATTAGTATATATTTTCTTTGACATTTCCCACATTTACTCAGAGTTACACCGCATTCCCGACAGATGCCCTTCATTATCTTCCCTCCCCCCTATCAAGCTACTCCCAACTATTCACAAACCCCCCCCCCATTTTTTTTTCAGAACGTACTATATTTTCTGTGGCATTGTTGGTTCCTCTACGTGATTCAATGCGGCGCCTTTGTGTGCCGTTCAAATATTTGCCATAAGCCAGGCATCTAAAGTCAACGCCTCAAAGTTGCGTCACAGAAACTACGACTGCGACTGCGATTGCGAGACTCTATAAAGGGCTGGAGGGAATACAAAGGCTTAAAACTTTTCCAAGAATAAGCCACTACGCGTAAACCTGTATAAAAGCAAGTGAAACGAAAAGTAATTGTTTAAAATTAAGATCGGCAAACAAAAGGCTATATATATATATATGGGGCTATATACGTACACGTACATAAGCATATACTGCGACTCAGTTCGAAGTTTGATTTTTGTTTTTAGAGGTCTGGGTCTGGGTTAATTAATCATTTCCATTGCATATGCAAGTACAATTGCGGTCAAGCCATTAGGTAAGGGGGGGAACTTTTAAAGTTACTTTTATCATGAAAGTTTTCTATATAATATATAGACTCTTTCCCACTATGTTTTGCAATTTCCTTTACTTTTTCTATGTAAATTACTATTTTCTTGTCTATAACTGTTCGTGGCCAGCCAGTGAGTAACGACATGAGTGCGAATGAGGGGCATTGCAGGGGGTCATGTTTTAATTTTTATTGACTCCGCTGCTCTGACACAGTGACCCAATAATATTCAAATGAAGTCAACGGCAAAAGCTCGCCTCATTTGCAGTCTCTCTCGGTCTCAGTCTCAGTCTTCAGTGTCTCAGCTTAAATGAACTAAAAAATAAACTACGGATACGGATCAGAGATGATAATGATGATTGTCAAGTTGATGATCAAGTTAATGGAGGGATGTTGATGACGCTACTGCTGCTGCTGCCTACTTTCCCTTTGCCATTTGACGTAGCTTGGACCTTATGCAACCTCATCAGCTCTGCCTAGCAACCAAGCAACCAAGCAACCGAAAAACCAAAAAAAAAATTTATAAAAGAAATGGAGGCAAACTTCAAGTCGAGCCTATGTTTGTTGTTACCCATGACTGGGCTTATGATGTTGCTGCTGTTAAGTGTACCAAGGTCAACTGACGTCGCACGCAGCAGCTTACGTCATCAGGCCAGCCAACACACACACACGCACACACACACACAAAGACACCAACATCGTCACACTTCCAAGCGAAATCGAAATTTTGAAAAAATTTAAACCAAGAGCACAGCCAAAAATCAACAACAAAGGCAGCCAATGCTGTAATTTATTAACTTTGTGCAAATTGACTGTTTTTTTTTTTTTTGGAAGTTTGCCTGTTGGGGAAAACGTTTTTGGTCAACCGGTTTGCAATGGCTTGCAACTTGAGTTGCTAATACATCATAATCCAAGCCCTAGATTGGGTTAGGCGTAGCAAATGAAGAAGCTTTGGCTTGAGTTTCTTTTATTAGAAATTAAGTAGTAAGTTTCCTTTTTGATAGTTCATTCAGCTTATTGACTTTTCATTGATCTTTCTGTAAAAACTTTTAAACTTTTAAATTTTTAAGGGATTTTCCTAAGAAAGTTTGTGTTTTTTCAAGGAATCTTTAGGTTATTTCATAAATCTTTATAATATTAAACCAATATTGTTGTTCAGTGTTTTAGTTTACTTTTTGTAAGCAGTACAAGTCCTATATTGTGGCTTTTTAAGGAGGCTTAAGATAATAATAATGGTTATTAAAAACTATTAAAACTGTATTTTATCCCATAAGAACATTATAAGTCAAAACAGCTTAAACTGCTTTTAGTTTATTTTTTCCCATAAGAAAATTATAAGATAAAACAGCTTAAGCAGCTTTTAGTTTAAAGTAAGCCAAGTTCTGACTATTTCTAAACAAAATCTGCCTAAAATTCCAACTAATTTTAACCTTTTAAAAGCTACAAATTCTTAATAAGTCCTTAATATTAAAAAACAATCATTCCTTTTCCATCTCATAGCTACTTTAACACATTTCTCTTTCTTATCAACCAAAAAGTTCTTTGAGAATCTAAAAAATTGCCAAAACTTTAAAAAGAATTTCTAAACCCTAAAATTTATCATCTTTTTTCCACAGGCGGGAGTAATGCGCACTTGAAAAAAAAATTAAAGTACAAAGAAAAAAAAAAACAATTTTTTGGGGACAAAGCAATTTTTTGCGTTAGTTTTTAGCTGGCTATCTTTGTCAGAGTGTGCGTGCCTGCTGCGTGTGTGTGTGTGTGTGTGTTGGTTTGCTGACCATGAAATTATTTTTATTGCGTAACATTTTCAATGGAAGTTTCGCATGTGAGTGGACCGCTCCCCACAGCCACTCCCCCCACCCTACCCCTATCCCCTGCACTACGACAGCTGTGCTGCCTTTGCCTTTGCCGGGAAAACACTTGACAATGTGTAACAAATTAAATTGGCCAAACGTAGCGGCGCTGTTGGCTCTTTTTGTTTTTTGATAACAGAAAACCCACTCACCCTCAAACCCCCCCCTCACATCACTTGTAGGTGTATATATATTAGTTGGTACTTTTTATTTTTATAGTGGCAGGCAGGCGGGACAAAGACAAAGACCGGCGCCAGCGATGACGCCCTGTTTGCCTCCATTATCTGGACGAGGCGAGTGCTCAACAGTTTGGCAAGCACTGGACTTGACCACGTAACCCGTTTTTATGACTTGCCAATTGAGCTATCGAAAAGGCAACTACAATAGCTACTTTGACGCCTTTCTTTGTTTTTAGTTAACAAATTGCTGGAGTGTTTCTGTCATAAAAACAGTTTTCAAAATTATGCATAGTTTTCCTTTGTCTTGAGGACGGGTGCGGCTTCCCCTTATCTTTTCCTGGTAAGATGGGAAAGTTTTATGATTGTAGGCCTGGAAAAGCTTCCAGCTGCTTGCTGCTTAAGCAACTTAACTTAAGATAATAGATCTTTGTTTTTAATATAATATTTAATAATAATTTTGTAATAATTCTCGCAGCATGAATCACTTTCTACATTCCTAAATAGTTTAGTCACAGAAAAGAAATATATTTAAATAAGTTCCTCTTTGTTTTAGTTTTACTCTTAGCTAAATCCTCTATAAATTAGTGTTTTTTAATCTAAAATTGCATTGCTATCATTGTTATCACTGCTTCTTCTTCTACTGTAAACACAACTGCAGGCAGGCGCCAGTGTAAATATTTCATTCGTTTGATTAGAGCAAAAAAAAAAAAAAAAAAAAAAAAATTGCAATAAAGAAATCAGCAAAGCAGGTGATTTCCTACCCAGATTATTACTCATGCCCAGCGGCAATTAAAGCGAAACTAATAATGGCAATTTGTAAATGGAAAAATGGAAAAATTGAAAAAAATGAAAAATATAAAAGCAGCTCTCGTCGGGGGCTTTGGAATTGCCAATACGATTCATAGAAATAATAAATAAAAATGAGTAAAAAAAAAAAAAAAAAAAAAAAAAAGGTAAATCACATTCAGACAGTCAGAGTGTTATCGTTTGGAATTTCGACTTGAGATCGCGGAATTTGCGTTTCGTAGTCAGTCATGGTATCGAAGATACGAGTACTGTTAACAGCCACTTCCGTTCTGGGCTTAGTTAACAGCGCTGTTAGCACCGCTCTCTCTCTCTCTCTCTCTGTTATCCGCAGAGAAAAGATAAACCGGATTTACGGAAATTAAGTGACTTATAACTCTTTCAAGTTCTTGCACTTCCGTTCAGTTCAGTCCGTTAAGTTATGAACAGAGGAATGTGCAACCAACACACACTTGTTGACACTTCGCGATGTTGAAGTGGCAGATAACTGTGCGATGACGAAAGACGGTAAAGTAATCTTAATGGATGAGATTGGAGATGTTTGATGATGTTTTTTGGGATGAAGATGCTGGATAAGCTGGTATCGATATTGATATTCAAGGGTATACAAGTTAAGTCCAAAACGATGACAAAGGTTATTAATGGAGAAGCTTTGACATGTTATGGATGGGACCACCTTACTGATCATAACCAATCAAAAAGATGATTAACTTATAACGATATTCCAAGTATTTCGCACAAATCTGATCTTTGAAGATTGAGATATGGCAGAAAATAAGAGGCACACTGACGCCAGCCACTCTCAGTGAAGATCTTTATAAGAAAACGCCGCCGATAATTGCTAGATCTCGACAATGGGGCAGCAAGCAGGCAACATTCCCATTCCCCCGATAGCCCAGTGCATTCCAATAGTCAAGTGAGTGAGTTTCGAGATAAGTTCTCCGAATTCATTGAAGGAAAACAGATAGAGAATGAGGCATTGGGCATTGGGCATTGGGCGTTGGGTGAAGTTCCTCAGACAAAGACAAATAGAACTGGTTAATAACCTGTCCCCGATGGCTTCTTTGGCATCTGTTGCTCATTCTTAAGCATTTCCTTTGCCATTTTTCTCTGGCCTTTTTGTTTGTTTTTCCTTTTTCTTTTTCTTTTCCTTTTTCTTCTTTGCTTTTCTTTTTTTTGGCCAAACATACAAAGGACGCATAAATTCAACTGGTCACACCCATACAGGCCAGGCCAGGCCAACCAACCAACCAACCAGTTCATATTGTTGTCATCATTTTGGACTGCGGTGGGCGCTATATCTCCATCTTCTTCTTCTTCTTCATCTGATATATAACCATATCGTTTTTTGGCTTTTTATGAGCCTGCATCTTTGTTGCTTTGTCTGCCTTTGCTTCTTCAGCTCTTAGTCCCCCCATCATCATCATCATCATCATCAGCATCATCGTCAGCATCAACATCACCATCAGCATCAGCATCAGCATCAGCATCACCA